CAAAACAAACTTTCATTTCTATTTGATATTATTCAACAAATGTAAGCAAATGATCAGGGAGATGCCTATCAGTTAAAGAGAAAAAGTGGCACCAATAGATAGATATAACTGTTTTCAAAATACAAATTTGGTAATGATCTACAGTAACTAAAATTTTGCATATGTCAGCTGGCTAAATGATTTTTTTTTTTTTCAAGAAACAAAAGCAGGCCAGGCACAATGGCTCATACCTGTAACCCTAGCATTTTGGGAGGCCAACGCAGGAGGACTGCTTGAGCCCAGTTCGAGACCAGCCTGGGTAACATGGCAAGATCCTGTCTCTACAAAAAATCAAAAAATTAGCCAAGCATGAATGGTCCCAGTTACTTGGGAGGCTGAGACAGGAGGATTACTTGAACCCAGGAGGTCAATCAAGGCTCCAGTGAGCCATGATTGTGCTACTACTACACTCCAGCCTGGACAACAGCAGGAAACTGTTTGGGGAAAAAAAAAAAAAAAAAAAAAAAGCAGCAAAAGAGTAAACATGTGCAATGTGCAATTGAAGACCACTAGTATCTTCTCAGGGAGTAAGGAAGTGACAACTTTAAGGATGATTTACAACCCTTTAGATACTAGATTCATTATGGAATCAGGAAAAATGTGTGCTTATAATCTTTAACCCAAATCAGAGGAATAGACTTAAATTATACTTATTCTTCATTACCCTGGTTCAAAATGAAATGACAGAAATCAAGACTTAATGAATAATTTTTTTAAAAGTGTATGTGTTTTTAATGTCACAAGGATTAACCAAATTAGACTATACAAAAATCTGTAAGGAAATGTAACACTAAGTGATATAACACTTTAGTCTTATATTCTTTTAAGAAGACAACCCATCAAAATATGGCAGTTACTGAGTTAGTTAATATTTATAAGGTTGGGTGCGGTGGCTCACGCCTGTAATCCCAGCACTTTGGGAGGCCGAGGTGGGCGGATCAGCTGAGGTCAGAAGTTCGAGACCAGCCTGACCAACATGGAGAAACCCCATCTCTACTAAAAATTCAAAAATCAGCCGGTCGTGGTGGCGCATGCCTGTAATCTCAGCTACTCAGGAGGCTGAGGCAGGAGAATCCCTTGAACCAGGGAGGCGGAGGTTGCGTTGAGCCAAGATAGCACCATTGCACTCTAGCCTGGGCAACAAGAGCAAAACTCCATCTCAAAAAAATAAAAACGATATTTATAGTAACTCATCTAGACCATATTTGGGGAGAAAAGGACATCTATGCTATTGGGTTGCTTGCTTCAATTCTTCACATCCCATTTTGTTTTTGCTTGCTTAAAACATACTTCTAAAAAGTGAAAACTCAAAAGCAAAAAGTTCCAATTCTGAGTATACAGCAATAAAAATTTTGTAAATACCTTCCAATTTCACATGTATGAATCATTTCTTTGATTAAATACTTGTGCTGGAGTAAAAATTAAGATACTAACTCAACAAGAAAAGTTACAATGTGCAGACTTAACATTAGACAATTCAGTTTCTTTCATTTTATTTTTCAGATGACTTCATTTCTCAGGACAGAATGACACAAATACAAGAAGCAGTCTCTAGGGCTGGCTGAGACTACGTTTATCTGTTCTCCTAAAAGCACTAGTTCAGCTCCCAAAAGAAGAATTACAAATCTGAGAAGTTAGAGGAAAGGTACAGAATAAGGATTCTGATTAAACAAGAAAAATCAATTAATGACATTGGTACTCTGTTCTTCATATCAGTAATAATACAAACTCAGCCCTTTTAAATCAGAGAATCTGCCATTCTATTTCTAATAAAGTAGTTTTGCAACCCCTAAAGTAAAAGAATTACATGAAGGTGTAAACTAATTTGCCTCCTTTAGAGACACTGCAATATAAAAGAGGATTTTTTTTTTTTTGTAAGCTTCTCCTTCTCAGTTCTGCAGGCTTCATGGTACTTCAGAGCCCCAATAATCAAGCAGTTCATGACAAAAGATAAAGGTGAAAAAGTAGACACAGAGATCTGTGAAGACTTCGCCCATTTTGCTATAGGTATCCATTGATCGATTTATCACTTCAGCAGGAATTCCCGATAATAAAAGTGCAGCTGTTAGTACTGTTGTCTTTATCTTCTTTTCACTCTGTGTAGAGAAAAGACTCAAATTAATCTTCAAAGTTTCAGCAGACTACATAAGCTCTATACAAACATGATCAATACTGCTATTTTCAACCTAAATGATTTAAAAACTGTTAATGATGTTTTAAAACAATCAGTAATATACCAACATTTACTGAGCACATAATATGTAAATCTTCAAACTGCTAGACAATAGCAGATTATCAGTCTTGCTTTTTTTTTTTTTTTTTTTTTTTGAGACAGTCTCGCTCTGTCGCCCAGGCTGGAGTGCAATGGCTCGATCTCGGCTCACTGCAACCTCCGCCTCCCGGGTTCAAGTGATTCTCCTGCCTCTGCTTCCTGAGTAGCTGGGATTACAGGCGCTTGTCACCACGCCTGGCTAATTTTCATATTTTTAGTAGAGACACCTCAGCCTCCCGAGTAGGTGGGACCACAGGCGCACGCTCAGCTAATTTTTGTATCTGTTGTAGAAACAGTCTCCCTATGTTTCCCAGGGTGGTCTTAAACTTGTAAGCTGAAGCCATCAGCCAGCCTCAGCCTCCCAAAGTGCTGGGATTAGAGACTGCACTTGCCCTGAAGGCCTGTTTTTAATTCTACTTCCCCTGAAGTCCTCCTTGTGCTTTATTTACATAAAACACTGGAGTAATTTATATCTCCTGTGAGCTCCTACGTCACACATTATCCATGTCAGTCATTTAGCAGTTATTTATGTCCTGTCTAGTAATATTTTTCTTGTTTTTATATTGTACTGTTTTAATATATAAAATTTATATTTTATATTATTTTATATTGTACTGTATATTTTATATTTATATTGTATAATATATTCTTGTTTTTATATTGTACTGTATATATAATAAATTATTATTTATGTCATGCTTCCAAGATGACATTTTCAAAAAACTTTTAATAGCAAGACTGGGCTGGGCGCAGTGGCTCACGCTTGTAATCCTGACACTTTGAGAGGCCAAGGCGGGCAGATCACGAGGTCAGGAGATTGAGACCAGCCTGACCAACATGGTGAAACCCTGTCTCTACTAAAATACAAAAAATAGCCGGGCACGGTGGTGGGTGCCTGTAGTCCCAGCTACTCAGGAGCCTGAGGCAGGATAATTGCCTGAATCCACAACGTGGAGGTTGCAGTGAGCCGAGGTCGCGCCACTGAACTCCAGTCTGGGCGACAGAGCGAGACTCCCTCTTAAAAAAAAAAAAGCAGAATTTTTCTTTATTATCACAAAATCCAATCATATGGTTTAAAAATTTTTTTAATATAAAAACCTATAGTTACCTAAGAGAAATGAAAGCTTATGCTCACAAAAAGCCTCATACAAGGAAGCTCTTAGTCATAATAACCCAAAACTGAAAACAACCAAGATGTCCATCTACAGGAGACTAGATAAATGGATACAGTCATACAATGGAGTATTACTGAGCCAAGAAAAAAAAAAGAAATTAACTACTGATTTATCTAACATGGATAAATCTCAAAAATATCATGCAGAATAAAAGAAGGCATGCAGAAAAAAGTAAAATCAAGAATGATCCCACTTATATGAATTACTATGCCAGACACAACTAATCTATGGTGGGAAAAAGATCTTTGGGGTATAGGGACTGGGACTGCCTGGAAAGGAGCATGAAGGAAACTCTTGGGATGACAGCAAAGTTATAAACCTTGAAAGAGGTATGGGTTTCACAGGATGTCAAACATATCAAATGGTACAATTAAGAAGAGCATTTCAAACAATCAATTAATTATGCTGGTACCCTAGTCTTCATATTAGAACTAATTTTTTTTTTTCCTTTTTTT